GTCAAATCGGAGTCCCTAGCTCTGAGTAAACTGACTGGTTTGCAAGCAGAATCACTTTCTTTCCTTCGTCATCCGCATGCAGGAAATGGCTCTTTTCCTCAAGAAGTCGGTTTTGCTACTGCTGACTTCTACCCATCACAGCCTTCTAATCCGCTTACTTCACTCGATTTAACGCAATCCTCCAGCTTCCCACATAAACTTGAAGCAGACCAGCCGTTTATTCCTCATGGTCTGGTTGAAGGCAAGCTATGTCCAGACAATGCCTTTTCCTTTACAGCAGGTTTCAACAGTATGCCACCCTGCCAGAGGAATTTGCAACCTGCCCAGTTTTTACATATGGCTAGTCCTACTTCGCATCAATTCTACTCTGAGCTATCAGACCCTGGCCAAATTCTTCCGCAAGGCATCATCCAACATGGTCTTGAAGGGTACTCTCAATCTGAGAGTAGATGTGATTTTCTTTCATTGTCAAGGAGCCACCAAGGATCGAGAGTGCCCACGCCTCCCACCATCCGGCCTTTAACCGCCTGCTCTAGCTTCGACTCACGTGATCTAGAGACATTTGCGGAGAAATTCAAGCAACGTCGAATCAAATTGGGCGTTACGCAGGCTGATGTTGGTCGAGCGCTGGGTAGCCTCAAATTATCTGGTGTTGGATGTCTGTCACAGTCTACTATATGTCGGTTTGAGTCACTAACATTATCCCACAACAATATGGTTGCATTAAAGCCGATCTTACAGGCCTGGCTTGATGAGGCTGGAGCTGCAGCTAGTCTTCAGCAGGAACAGGAACATCAGGTAAAGCATTACCATTGTCAGCAAAACCAAAGCCAAAACAATTTGCAACTGTATCAGAACCGAAACAACCACCATCCTCAGCCCCATCACTCTCACCAACAGCTAGATTCATCTGGGAAAGTCTTATCCATTGAAGGATGCTTGGCTTGTGAGCCTGGTATGACATTACTTGGGAATGGAGCTCTTTCCCTTATTTGTAACGGACATAATACAAATCAGTTAAGCAGATCTGATACATCGGTGTCCTTCACCGAAAGAGCAGGTGTTCCGGTATGCGTAGGAACGAGTATTGGTGGCTTTGATAAGAAACGAAAGCGTACTTCAATCACGGATGCCGAGAAGCGCGCCCTTGAGGCCTATTTTAGTGTGCAGCCCAGGCCAACCAGCGAAAGGATCGCTCAGATTGCTGAGCGTCTCGGTCTGAAGAAGAATGTTGTGCGCGTCTGGTTTTGTAATCAGCGCCAGAAGCAGAAGCGCATGAAGTTTAAGACACAAGCAGATTCCGTTACAGTCACTTCAGGGCTAACAGCAACTTTAATGCCATCAGCATCAGGTACCAGTCATTCTTCGGTCTTGCAGCAACTTTCGAGGCAACAGCATCGTCAGCAACTTCAACAACAATCTTTACTGTCAAACGGCACTACTGGTAGTTTGTATTCGACTGAGACCGGTCTCACTGCTACATCAACGCTCCTGATACTAGCACCAGAGGAGTCATCACATAGATTTGTTTCAGTAACTTCAGGCTCAACACAGAACTCAGCCTGTATACCAGGTCTGCGGGCAGAATCTAATTATGTAAACCAGAGCCAATAAGTCTGAGCTATTGGACATTCGGATAAGTCCAAAATTGGAAACTCTTTGCTTCTTTCATTAAGGCAAATGCAAAGATTGCCTAAGGTTTCATTCTTGACTTATATTCTTGCCCGAGTCCATCCATTTTGTACATAGATTTTCTCGTGAAGACATATGAACAACTTTGTAAGCCAAGACAAAATTCATGATAAGCCAAACACTATTTCAATGATATTTACTAGTTTAAGTCAACTGACCTAAGTAAATATTATTTTTTATCGATAATGATATGTGCTATATCAGGATAACTAAACAGCTTTTGGTTTTAAGCACTGACATTGAGGTCTTTGATTTAATAAAATGGATGCTAGCATCTTTTTCGGGATGGAACTCAATTGATACAATTTGTTATAAAGAAAGTTTAGTTGTGTTAAGTTCCTCACGAATTTACACATTAGGTGAGGTAAACACAGATAGTTGAATTTTATGCAATGTACTTATTAGAAAAGCTCATACTGTGGCTTATTACTTTAGGCTAGAACACAGATTCCACCTCGAATAGTTCTCATTGGGATTACAAACAGGATTCGATACGGGGTCGAGCGAATCAAACAGTAAAGTTAATATTTATGCATATAGTTATGTGTAAGATTTTTGCAGGGCATATTTGAACTTAATGATGAGAATGTTGCTGAAAATGTAAACTTATATTTGCAAACGACAGATGAAATTACTATATACTGACTGAGCATTGCTTAAAATTACCAGAATATCTTTTTATGCGCCTTGAAATTAATATATTCTACCCAGCTAACCAGTATCATCCGGGAAATTGAGGGGTGGAGATTCTGCGGATCATCAGACAAGGCCTGGTTTCAAGTCCCTTTAAGTACCGATGAAGCCTAGGCAAGAACGAAGCTACATTAAACTGTGGAGATGAAAATACAGGGATAAAAGACATTCAGTGGCATTGTGTGCTCTTTTTTGAGTGAAACTCAATTCTCAGGCCTTTCCACCTTAAGAACTTTAAAAGAACTCCAGTTCTTCTAATATAAGTAAACTGAATATTAAAAAAATTGGTTTGACCTTGTTTTTCTAACTTGATTAAGCTGTAGCAGGGGCCTTGAATGTTTACATTGCTCGGTATCTTCTACCCTAGTAGTCAAGATAATTTACACCCTATTTAGTCTAAGGGGATGAAGGACTGCCAGTAGAATTTTCCCACAATGATTTAATTTAGCTTAGCTTTCCCAAAAGTTGTTCTCTTACAGGGTGGACTGCAGTTCTGACATCGCATAGGTCTTATCAACACCCCTCAGCAGGAGTTGAACCGTGACAGTGTAGCCTGTGAGCTTGACGCGTTAACCCCTCAGCAACATTGCCACGAGTGTCCTCGGGTCAAAGGGCAGATCTAGATTTCAAGGAAGGCCAGGCCTTT